AGGAGCAGCAGCAGCGGGAACAGGAGCAGCACCACCACCAGCAGCAGCAGCAGCAGCCGACCAGATTTCAGTGGAAGTATCAGCGACCGGCTGCGGCCGCTGCAGAGGCGTGCTGCTGCGGAGAACGATACCCGCCGGGCGTGTGGGTCTGCGGGCCGGGCAGAGCGGGCAGAGCCGGGGAGGATCGGGTACCATGACGTTCATGATGGGCCGGCGTCCGGTCGCCGCTGCTGGGAGCCCTGGCCCTGGCCCTGGGGGTGGGGAAGGGAAGGGGTGGTGGGCAGGCCCCTGCACCCTTGTTAGCGCCCCACCGGAGCAGGGAAAGGCCAGCTGCCAGTGGCGCGCTAATAACGCTTAGTACAAAGTGCAAACTTCGACGGGTACTCGCCGGCTACTTTGCCCTGCGCCGCCGCCGCCGCCGCCCCAAGTCGTTCAACCTCAACCCCTCCCCCGCCGCCGCCATCCCCCGTCGGCAGCCACTGCCGCGCCACGCGCCGCCCCCGGAGCGGCATCAAGCAAGCGTATCCGGCGAACACGACGGTAAAACTATATAGTACGCCGCGGCGCACAACGTTCGGGCAAAATTAACTCTTCCGTGAAGCGGCGGTGATTAAAACGCAATAAAATTGCGCAGACTGCAATGAGTTGTGTGCGCGTGCGTCTCACAAGAGTCGGTGGGTGCGGGCGGCAGTGTTAATAAAGAGGCAATGACAAACATTTGTAAGAAGGCAAAGGGCAAAATTAAGCGTACGACTAGTATATTACTTTCTCCATGTAAGGCAAAAAAGACAACAACACCAAAAAACCTTATTTAACCTACAAAGAACACGGTAGCACTGTAAAGCAATGTTTTGTAACTACGAAGTGCTTTCACGAATCAACCGGGGACCTCACCGGAAAATGTTTGCTGTGTATTTATGCGACATTCGGTCGCCTCAAACTTTTAGTGTTTGATCTGTCAAGGGTAAAAAACAAAAACAAAAAAAAACTTTAAAATTGTGAGGCCTGTATCCCGAGATTGGGACCGCACGTCGATAAGCTGTGTGAGCACTCCGATCCCTGCGGCAGGCAGGGCATTTCCGGTACCGTAACACTGCAGCTCCCTGTCAGATTCCCCCATTACATGTGGCGCATTGACATGGATTTTGTGGTGACCCCCCACAAAACGCCACAGCGCTTTGATGTTAAAATTGATTACTATTGTAGGAAAGATCTGTGCAAACCTCGCATATCCGGGAGGTAGCAATGCGGGGAAGTGGCGAACGTTTCATTGAAACCCTCATGTCAAAGAGAATGGACATGTGGCATGGAGCAGGGGGGTCTTGTGTGGCGTTGCCGCACTGGATCACAATCCCTGTTGACAATTACGTCACTTGCGCTAGAATGTAAATGGAAATAAAATAATTTACTGTGGCAATGAATATAGGTCGCTTTCCAAAGTTTCGCTTTTTACAAAATAATCCTCAGCACCGAATTAAAATTGTCATTTGAAAAACAGTGCACGGATAGGTGAACGTGGGTACGTGTTGGTACGAGTGGGTGTGCGGGGTAGATGCGGGCAGGTACCGCTGGGAACGCCTAGCCCCAACCCGGGCATCGTGCATGCCGATCAGTCGTGGTTTCGGAGGGACTGAGCAATCAGCACAGCAGCGAGGGCCAGCTCAGCTGGGCCAGAAGGGATGGAAAGAAATGAAGAGAGAAAAGAAAAGCAGAAAATAAAATAAGAGAAGTGATAGAGGGAGTGCCCTTGAATCAATACTGTAATACCAGGTGCGCAACGGTGCACAGCCCTATAGCCTTGAACCAGACCCAGCAGCCGGGCGGGGATGGCAACGAAGGGGAGGCAGGTGCGTCCGATGCAGCAGGTGCATGCAGTGCGCAGCTGCGTGGGCGGGGTCGCTAAGGGCGCAGCAGCGGGGGAGCCGGTGGGGAAAGGGGGGGGGCGCCAGTTTGTAACGCGAGAAACTTATTGCCACTTGCCTCTTTGATGGCTAAATAATGGCAAAGGAGTTAACGCGATTAAGGGCCAGAGGGCGCGCAGAGAGTTTTCCCCGATTTTCCTCCTGCTCTTCCAAGATAAATGAGAAATAACCTGGGTCGGGTCGGGCCGGATATGGGCCGCGCGCAGCCCAAGCAGGTCCAGCGCAACTCGAGGCGTACTCATCATCATCTGTTGAACTTTGGAAAGAGAAAGAAGAGGGAGAGAAAGAGAGAGAGAGGGAGAGAGGAAGGGCCGAGAGCCCCGGACTTGGTCCGCACGTGCGAAGGTCTTTAGCACGGGAAAGGGCACTCACTAAGGTGACAGCCTCCGAGCAATCCGTCCAGCCAGGCAGGGCAGGGCGAGGACTTCATTACCCGGACAAGCCTGTTCTTGTGCGAGTCTGCGACAAGATAAGTTGCTTTGTCCTGCCTCTAATCCAATATGTTCTTGCAATCAGCAAATCCATTTGCGCTGAGACGACCCCAACTTACTTTTGCTTGGTAGCCTACGAGGAAGGGATTTGCAATCAGCAGACCCATTTGCACTAAGATTTGTAAGTTTACTCTTCGTGTTACAAGCAAGAGGATTCTCTGAGTGTAGGTTGATAAGGTACAGGATATGTAAGGAGTACTTAGCAAGCTCCCGAGCATCACCACCGGGTGTTTGCGAAGAGATTCAGTCTGCACGGCTCAGAGTACAGTAGTAGTCTTCCAGCGTTGTTCACTGCGGCTGGAGGACTCGGCCGGCGGCCGCGCCCGCCACACTCCTCCGCCACACCCCGCCGCGCCCTGCCACGCGCTGACGGGCTGACGGCTCGAGGATGGATGCCGAGGGGAAATGGAGGTGGGGTTGGGGAGGAGGGGCTGGGAGTCTCACCACAAACGGCTTAGTGAGACGGGCGGCCGGGGACTCGGGGGGCGCGGGGAGGGCTTTTTGTTCCTCCAAGAATGCCGCCCGCTTCCCCCCCCGAGGACGTCCAGGGACTGGCCGTCCGGGGGCCGTTGTCTGCACCACAACGGGCCTAATGCCGGACTAACGCCGGGCTAACACCCTCGGACGCCGAGTTGCCCTTCCTCTCCCTCCCGTTCTTTCCCGCTTCCTCTCCAGGACTCCTCGCCAGTCGCGTCGCGGTGGCCGGGTGGTGGGTCCCCTGGGGCCTCCCGGGCGGCCCACCGCCTCCCGCACCTTGTTAGATGGGCGGAGAGCACCGGAGCACCCCCCGCAACCAGAACCAGATGCAGGCAGTCAGTCAGTCTCCGGGCCCTGAATAATACAGTCCCTGTAACAGGACACTGCTCCCGCTCGGTCGCGGCCCTACTGTGCTGACGCTGCCAGCGTCGGCACGCCACACG